TTGGGGGAATTGGGGGGAGATTTGGGGGGGGTTGGGAAAGAGAGAGAGAGAGAGAGAGAGAGAGAGAGACTGAGAGAGAGAGAGAGAGAGAGACGAAGGGAGGGAGGCTGGAGAGAAGGAGAGAGGGAGGGAAAGGTAGAAGGGGGAGGGGGAGGGAGGGAAGGAGGAGGGAAGGGAAGAAAGGGACACCTTTAAAAGTTGAGCAAGGAACAAAGTGGGGGAAGTTGCCAAAAAAAGGGCTCTGTATCCAGGCTCGCTGGTAACTTCCCGATCCCTCCCCTCCCTCTCGTACACACCACACACACTTGTATTTTGCGCTGTCGTAAAACCCACGTGTCTCGCCCGGAGCCTGCCAGAGCCGAGCCGAGCGCCCGGCCGCGACTGCGATGCGCAGCCACGGCAGAGGGAGCCCGGCGGCTCGCAGCTAGCCGGCCCGCCGGTACCCGGCACCTGGAAGAGGATCACCCCGCTCCCTCGTGGACAAAGACCAGAGAAGTCTCTGCTCTCCGTCCTCCTCCTGCTCAGGCTCCCGGGGCTGCCGAAACGTCCGCCCGCGCAGCAGCGCTCATCCCGCTCAGGTAAGGCAGAGCCGGGCCGGGCACAGCGGGGCACCTTCGCTCGGGACAGGACTCTGCCGGGCCTCGTCCTCCGCCTCCAAACGCCAGCGTGGAAAGCAGGAACAGCCGGAGAGAAGAGACCCGCGCGCGTATGCGCGTAGCTGAACTTTTCTCCTCCTTCTCCTCCTCCCTGGTGTCAGCGGAGAGTCGTTTGCTACCGCGAGGAGAGGGAAGGGAATGAAAGGGGAGGACAGTGCGTGCGCCTGGGACGGGGTGAGCTGAGCTCCTTGCGGGGCGGCCGGGGGCTTTCCGGCCACGGGTTGGCGTGACGGGATGCCCGGGACTGCCCGCGTCCTGCCCGCGATCCGGGGGACAGTCTTGTCGCCCCAGCCACCATGGTTCTCGCGTGTCCTCCCTGAGGCTCTTCGGGACGAGATTTTCTCCTGAGGAGCCTGGCACGGGCAGGGGAAGTGGCGCGCGTACGGTCCCACCGCCGGTCCCGCACAGCCGCGGCAGAGCCCACGCGTGGCCCGGCGTGTCCGGGGGGGACGCGGGGTCGGGGCAGCCCTGCCGGGGCGGGGCGGGGGTCTCACGTCTTCTATCCCCTTCCTTTCCGCTTTACAGGCAGAGCGATGCTGAAGCCCGGCGACCCCGGCGGATCCGCGTTCCTGAAGGTGGATCCCGCCTATCTACAGCACTGGCAGCAGCTCTTCCCTCAGAGCAGCCAGCTCAAAAGCAGCGGGGCCCTCGCCCAGCTTCAGCCGCCCGAGAGAGCCGAGCCCCCGGCTGATAGCCTCCGCCAGCGCCCGACCTCCCTCTCCTCCGTCTCCTCCTCCTCTTCCTCGTCCACTCCGTCTTCCTCCTCTACCTCCTCGTGCGTTGCCGCGGCGGCCGCTTCCCTGGCCGGCCTGACCTCTCTGCCTGTGACCCAGCTCCCAGTCTTCGGCCCGCTACAGAGCTCGGATCTCCCAGCCGCAGGAGCGCCCACTCCCCTGCAGGGCAAGGACTTGTGCGGGGGCGGCAGCGGCGGCAGCAAATGCGGCGACCGTGCGGTCGCTCGGTACCGCTGCACGGCCGAGGAGCTGGACTACTACCTGTACGGTCAGCAGCGCATGGAGATCATCCCCTTGAATCAGCACACCAGTGACCCCAACAACCGTACGTATCGTGCCCCTTCTCGCAGTTCTCGACCCTTCATCCTCCGCCTCTCCCCTCACTGGGCCGTCCTGGGGACGCTCCAGGCTGGGGGACCGCAGTTGGTGCCTGCACCGCTCTCCCTCTACGAGGAGCATGCTTCGCCCTGCCCTTCTATCCCTTGAGCTGGCTTTGAGTTGTTCCAAGTGGTTTCAGGAGACGGGCGGCAGCCCCTCGGTAGCACTTTTTCTTGCCTGAGACCCAGATCCTTCCCTGGAAGGCACGCTTCACCGGGAAGGCTGTGGTGGGGGGAGATTTCTTTCGGAGGCCTGCTTAGGAAAATGGATTCAGAAATGCTTCAGACCAACTTACCAGAAAGGTGGTCATTTCTTACCTTGCATATCTCACTCTGTTCCTACCTGGAAATCCCAGGCTTTGCTGCATACCCAGAAATCAATTACTCCTCCGATCTGGGCAGGGAAAAGTTGCAGTTTTCATGCCATGGTCTAGGACAAAGTTTTCCTCCCTCTTATCTAAGAGTATCGTTTTCCTTTCAGACCTCGTTAACACGTCGCTGGTTTTAGTTTTCACCTTTATAGAAATGCATGACATGGTCATTTAATAAGAAAAACTGATTTCTAGACGAAAAAGTCTACATGAGTGTCAGAATTCATTTAGGACTTAGTGGATAGAAAGCGTTTAATACTGCTGCTGTTGCCAATTATATAGTCGTTTTTTGTTTGGTGTTTTTTTTGGGGGGGAAGGGGGAGGGGAAGGGGTTGCCACTGTTATTAAACGTCTGTATCGATGAGAGGTCTGTAATTTTAGAATCTGGTTCTGTCTCTCCTTTGTTCCTATATCTGTCAATCCTATGCAACCAAGAAAATTCACGGTCTGAAAAGAACTATATGAACTCCTAATAGCTCAACAGTTCTATTACTAACATCCAGAGCACACGGATCTTCCCTTGTTATAACAGTGCACCATGGCTTCGGTACTTTTTTTTTTTTGCATTGCTTCAAACACTCTCCTTTATACTAAGTTTTCTTAAAACTCTTTATTTTTTTGTTGTCCTTCTCAACCCCCACTCCCTAAATGTCTATTTAAGGAAGGCTGTTGAACAGACAAACGGTACCCCAAGCCAGCGATCCATAAACACACGCCCAAGCAAAACGCGGATTCGTTTAATTATATTTCAGATGCAGAGCTTGTTTTGAAAGTTTCCATGAAACTGTGTTGTGTGTTAATTAAATTGCCTAGATGTTAGCATAGTCTTGGGAGTTGGGCATACTTTCAAGAGAAAAGTTGAGTCGGAGTTTGGTGGAGATTTTTCCCGCTTTCTTAACATTGCAAATCTTTCTGTATTGGATGTCGGCTTTGTTTTAAGCGACTTCCTCATGCTTAGTTTTACCCTCTAGTGAAACATGTTCATATATATTTCTATTCTCGGGTGCAGAAAATGTGATCTCATAAATTACATACAGTAAATGTAATCCGAAATGCACTTCTAATCGCCAACCGAACCGTTCAGACAATACATGTTTTACTTCTCGGAGCAGCTCCGTAAATCTAAAAGATAAAGGTTTTAAAAATAGAAAGGAAGATTAAAAAAAGGATTGGGAGGAGCATTTTTAAGGATTGAGTGGAATAATAGCACCCCGCAGAGTCGCAGGCGAAGCCTGAATATTTTTTTCCCAACCGCGATACTAAAGGGGAATTTGGGAAAGCAAACGGCTTGATTTGTCGCGTTCGGCGACGTGTGTGTCGCGTTCGGCTGGGACGGGGCAGCCCTCGCCGTCGGAAGCACGGGCAGGGTGCAGCCAGCGCCGTGTCGAGCACTTTTTTTTTTTTTTTTTTCCCCTGCAGCTAGGTCTAAAAATTCTTATCATTGAACTTGTTTACAGGGCGACTGTCGCTCCAGCGGTCATTAGTTACCTCTAAGGGAAACTTTTAACGCGAATGTTTCAGTCTTCTGGGGCCAGGTGCATTTGCTTTGGGCAACTCATGCCGTAAAAAAAAAAAAAAAAAAAAAAAAAAAAAAAAAAAAAAAAGAAAAAAGAAAAAAGAAAAAAGAAAAAGTAAACTGCAAATGAAGAAGGAGTGCGGGAACTGCATCCAGTACCGTGCCGCGGCACTCCACGCACTCGGACTATCAGGGGAACAAGCTGCAGGGCACAGGCCTGGCTGCCCCTGCGCGGCTTCCCGAGTCCGTGGGCAGGCAGGATTTCCAGCCGCCTTGACTCCCACCCTCAGTCGCCTTTCCGCACCAGAGGTGCCTGTTCGAGGGAAAGGAGGTGGCGGGCTGTGAGTGACGTGAGGAGCCGTCGACTTTAGTTTTTGTACTTGTTTGCTGCACTTTCATCTTCAGACAGTCCCACCGAAACCCCGAGACGGGCTGGCTCTGCCCAACTTGGTATAAACCCCCACCCGCCGGGACCGACACCCTCCCCAGAGCGGGGTCGCCGGCCGCCGGCTCCGCCGGGCCCAGCCCGCGCGCTGCGGGTGTCGGCAGCTCCCAGGCTTTTAATCTTAGATGTGTCTCCCTCGCCATCCGAGCGAGCGCCTCGTTTCCCCTACTTTCCCAAGCAGTCCCCTTTCCTCCCCACGAGCATCTCCTTCTTCTCCGGGGCACCCCGCATCTCCCCGGTCTCCCGGGAGGACCCACCCGCTCGGGAGAAGCGTCGGCGAGCTCCCTGTGTGCCGCCAGGCGCTCTCCGTGCGGCCGGCCCGGCCCGGCGGGGCAGCGGGAGGCGGTCGGGCCCGTCGAGGAAGCCGGAGCGGTGGCGGCGGCCCTCCCGGCCCCCGCCACCCCGCCTGGCCCCGCTCCACAGCGCCCGGCCCGGCCCCGGGCGACCGCCGCGGGAAGATGAAGGGGCGGCGGCTTCCCCGTAGACACACGCCTTGATCGTCAAATATCAATGCATATGGCACGGTCTTGGGCAAGGGAGAGGGCTGAGGGCCGTCACGGAGCTGCAGATTAAGCATCTGTGTGTAATTGTTTTAAATTGAAAGGGGGTTAGCTGGGGGAAAATAACAATAATAAAGGCAATTAAGAGACAAACCCCTAATTAGGGCCCTGCAGTCTTTACTCCCAGGGAAGTAAAGGGGATTATGTTAAAGCCCTGATAATGTAGCAGGCGGCTGGGGACGGTTTGCTTCCCAGCCTTGAATCTGGAAGGATGAGGGTATTTCTGGGCCCTGGGGGAGGGGCGCTCGGAAGGCTAGGAGGAGAGCTCCTAGGGCGAGTCTGGGGGCTGCGGGGCCGGCTTGCTCCTGTGGAGGCTTGCCCCTAGCTGCTGGAGAGAGGCTTTTTCAATGAGAAGTCTGAGACTCCTCTACCTTCACCAGAAAGAACCAACCTGCCACTATAATAAATACGCTGTGTAAAACTGAAGTGTCACGCGACCAAGCACTTTGCACGCCTCTTCCCATTCAATTTACAGGGAGACACTGTGTATATATAACATGCTGTGAAGTGGATCGGTGTGGAAAATATTTGGATTTTTTTTTCCTCTAGGCTGCTGGTAACCTGTATGATTTAGCTATTTTACATCATTAGTTACCCAGAACCCTTAAATATAGCAGATAGCCATACATTAGATTGAGGTTAGAGAAGGTGGTGACTGTTTATTTAGGGTGATAAAATGGTCCATCAGCAGTAATCTCCATCGATATGTGCCACCAGGAGATGAAGGATGAGGGGACAAGCCACAATTAATTGCCCTATAGTTTTGTAGGAGAGAGTGGAGCCGGTGCGGACTGAACTTCGATCTCCTCTCCCAGAGCCTATTCATCATCTCTACATTGTATATGGGGGTCTCTCAGGGGCAGAGGGTGGCAAGGTTTATCTACACACAATATTCTCCTACCCTTCTCATACCTGACACAGAAATTCAATTCGTTCATACCTGTAGCAGAAGGCAGGAAAAATAAAGCCCACCTCCCTCAACACGCCCCCCACCCGCCTCTTAAAAATAACCCGAAAGCCGCTCCACAAGCAGGACGGCCGCCCTGACCCACCCCAGGGCGCCCAGGCGGCCCTCGTACATCATCTTCCCCCGAGGAGCTGGCGCGGGGTGTGTCTGACCCCCGAGCGGGGTCTCGTACCCCGCGGCGGATCTTGCGCCGATGCGGAAGCGGAGCGAGGGCTCCGCTTTGTCTCCCCCGCGGTGGCGACGCTCGGAGCCCGACCGGGGGAAATGGCGAGAGGAACGAGGGGCAGCGAGGGGGAAAAGCCCGGGAAGGGAGGGGGTCGGGCGCCCGGGGACCCCGTGCCGGCCGTGGGTCTCCACCCATCGGCGGTGACTCGGCACCCTCGGGACGCCATCCGCCCCCTGGGGCAGCAGGCTGAGCTTGGTCCCTCTTCCTGAAACGAGTATATAGAATAAATAAGCATATAAATACAGGGCACCGGAGGAGAAAATGCATCTGTGTTTTGTTCTCCCGAAAGTCTGCCTCGAGTCAGGCTGTCTGCGAGAAACTGCTACTAATTTTGTAAAAGGAGGTTGATACCAGCTCGTTGATGAGGCAACTGAGGTACAAGGGAGGCCGTGATTCCCTGGAAAACGCCAACCCTCAGGAAAGCAAAGGGTACTGTCTCATCCAGCCCACCCTCCCACTTAGCTGGGTACATGGGCCCAGACTGGGATGCAGGGCCAGCTGTGGTGATTTATACTTGCAAGTGAGTAATACCATGTGAAATGATGGCCACTTACACTGGATACCTGAATGCTTGCGGTGAATTATGAAGCAGAAGGTCAGAGGCCACCCTTCTTTAATACCGGCAAACTGCAGGTATCCAGTATAACTGCACCTTTGAAGCATATTATTGCTGAGACAAAAATGTATTTCTTTCATTTATTGTTACAGCTGGTTTGCTGGTTACAACCCTACCTTTCACTGACAAAAGCTTTCTCCTTTCAGATTTCCTTTAAAGCATGTAGTAGTAGTGATTTTTAGGTTGGATTAAACCAATCTAAGAGAAGAGTGTTTAGAATTTTGGTTTGGGTCAATGATATGTCCTTTTGCTTGGTTTTAGTACTTTTAAGTGTACTCACATGGAGTTATAGTGCTGGCATTACACTGTGTTCATTTTTATGGAGGCACATAAACAGTAACATATTGCAATTCTCCCAAAAGAGCCATATCAAACAACTCCACTAGGAAATCCTTTAATTTTTTTCCTTGCTTCCTTCTTTCCTTAATCCTACTCTCTACAGAGTATGAAGGTATAAAGTGAGGGACTGATCTCCTTCCAAAATGTTGGGCCATATCTGGCCCTGCAGTGGAGCGCTCCCACTGACCTTACCTTCTACATTTCCAGATTTTATCAGAAGACGCTCTGCTCTGGCTGCAGTCCTACTTTCTTTTTCCATTTTCAGCAAAGCCCTGAATTTTCTCACATTTCTCGCTTCTTGGCTGGATTTAGGGCTTGACTGATGCTATTACAGAGAGTGGAAATGTTAATTTCAGCTGTTCTCGGAGAAGGCCTGTACTCACATAGCTGCTCTTCAAGGCTGAAGGCTCTTCGAGGAGGAAGGGCACAGTACATCTCTCCTTGTTGCCCTGTGTGGAAGTTCTCTGGAAGGTTCACACTTGTACAAGTGTGCCTGTTTTATGTGAACTTCCCACACCTGCATGGGTTGCCATCCACTTTGGAGACTCCTGTAATGTCAGTGGACCACAACTATCCCCTTCTCAATTCCCCTCCTCCCTTCTTTTCCGTGTAGTATTAAGTGAGTTGGTGCATTGCATTCCATTGTTCTCTGCAGGATACATGAACATGAAGATGATGCTGTTGATTCTACCTGTGGGGCAGGGCAGTGTGCAAGTCTTGGAGTTCTTGCTTTTTCCTCCTATCTGATATTAAGGACATCCTTCCCTTGTCCTCTGAGTCAAAAGAATCCACTGCCTACAGTGATGGTCTTTAAATGGATGCTTCTACATATTATGCAAAAGTTAGTGACAGAAGAGGAAAAGATGCACAGTAGCCTTTTTACTCAAGGCGTGGTAAAATGGGGGTCTGCTCCTTATAACATTTATGAGAATTTTTAAAAATTTTATTTGTATAATTGCATAACCACTAAAGATAAACGTATAAAACACGGAACTAAGAAGAAATTCAGTACTGCTTAGTATTAAAGACAGATTATCCCCCCCCTCATCAACAAGCCATTAGCCAAAGCAGTTTCAAAAGATGTTCCATTTTCCAAATTTTCAGCTTTGGCAGGACAAAGGGAAAGGAACACAGCAGGGGATCAGATACTGTGGCTGCCAAGCATTAAGACATTACCAGTGTTTTTGGACAGTGGAAAATAAATATCACCATGTGTGACTTTCTGTAATAAATGACAGTGACACAGGGTTTGTTTATACTCCTTGACAATTTCTTAGTTTCCTTTTCTTGGAAATGTAGAAATAAAATGTTTAACCCACACTCATGCCCACATATTGTCAGGACAAAGTGAAGAAATTCTTGTTCTGGGCAGGTACACGTGTGTGCATTAAAAGTTATATATATGTTATGGCAGGATGCAGGAAATTGTCACTGAAATGATCCGAACCGCATCATGAAGATGCCTTAGAATGTTTAATGTAAATTTCTCCGGAGACACGGTGTCTCTAAGAAAGCCATTAGTATTCGAGTACCTATGAGGAGAGTTACACATCTAGAAGATGGTCAAAGAGTGCAAACAGGTCAAAATCAGGGGCCTGTCCTGGGTGCTAATTGACGTCATGGTTAGACATCATCTCTTTAAGTCCTCAGTTTTCCTATCAGATGTTTTCTTCCTAACTTGCACGGTTAGATGCCAGATTCATAGAATCATAGAACCATTTAGGTTGGAAAAGATCTGTAAAGTCATCAAATCCAACTGTAGATTATAGTGTTCAGCCATAATCTGCTTAAAGTGTATCACATGCCAAACTATTTGGGATTTCGGGTTTGGTTTTTGTTTTTCTTTCTTCTCTTTTCCTATTTAAGATCCTTTCCTATGTGACCTCCAATGCCAAACTCCAGTGCTGCCCCTAGCATCTTTGGATATGCCAAAAACACAGGGGTTTTTGATGACTGGTTTTGAAGAGGAAAGGGAAGAAAAGATGCTGTGGTGATACCTCACTTTCCAAACTAGCTGTGGAAATAATAACAACCAAAAAAAAAAAAAAATCCCGGCATGTACTTGCTGCCTTTTATTCATCATGCCTGGAACGGGCTGTTGGAATATCTGCTGCATAATAATCTTCTCTCAGGACCAGCCAGAAACGTTTTCCCTGGGGTCCTGCAAATCTCATCCTCCGACCACCTCTAATTGACGTTTCTGAGTGAGCAAAACCCTTCTGCAGTTGCGGCTTAACCCAACAGAAGAGTCGTTTTGCGGCAGGGAGTATGTCTTTAAGGCAAGACAAAATTTCACCCTCCAGCCAGAAGTGGTGTTTTTGCCAACATAAGGGCGGTCCCCACTAGGGGGCTTTATTCTGCCGTGCTGGCCAGCTCCTCTTCTTCCTGCCTCCTGCCCTGACCTGTTAGGGAGAGATGGCATGGGGAGAGTTTCATAAGGAGACCTTCTTCTGCAGGGGCACCCCTCAGAGTAATGCACAACTCATGCCTTGCTGGCTGGCTTTCTGCTAAGATCTGTAATCGATGATGCTGGTGGAGAACTTGAACAGACAAGCACCGGGTAGAGACACATGCATTTCCTGCAAGACTAGAAGGTGTAACGATTTTGAGGGAAATTAGCTTCCACATGTAAGTGACAAATATTTTCATGTTGCTGAATGCACCATTTTTGTATGATAGAATTTAAAAGAGGATGACAGGAAAGAGTGCTTAGGTAGCATGTCTGAAATTGGAGAATGCACATAGAACCCGTACTTTGAAAATGCATCTTTTATTATCCTTTACTAGGTTTGACTGAATTGAGAGGAAGGTTTTCCTTTGGAGGATCTGTAGGAAAGAGGTCTACTTAATACACAGTACATCCACCTCAGAAACAAGAACATCTGAGTCAGGCCCCCTGAGAATTGAAACTGTGGTTACAGGCAATCTAGCAAGTCTAAATCTGTGACATAGATGAAGAAACTCCAGCTTCTGTAGTGAATACTGTGTTCTGTTTTTATAAGAAAGGGTGTAAGTTCTGAAGATGTAGGACTTGCTATATGAGTACTATGACATAGTTATTGGTTTTTCTTTGTGTTTCTGGAATAAATTTATATGAAAACCTTTATTGTGCTACACAAGTGAAATGTGCAGAAGATGGTAACATTTCAATTGATTTATTGTTGTGTTAACGTATCCCCAGATTTCTTGAACATGAAACATTTTCCTGGAAGATGTACATCCATGGCATATGCAGTAGTGTGCAGTGGAAACATTTAACCAAAGTCTTCTTTTCTCAGGAAAGAAAAATGATTGTAGGATCTTCCCAAAACAGAATCACATTGTCCTTTATTAAAACAGTTAGGAAAATAAACATTTTTGCAAACTGATCCTTTCTCATGGGAGTTGTTCACAAACCCAGATATGCTGGTTTTGGTGGTTTTTTTGCTGTTGTTGTTTATTTCCCCCCCCTCCCCACAGCCTCAGCTAAATGTAACAGGCAAAGAACATGCATTTCTATTCAATAAAAAAATATTCATGTGTGTGCTAGAAATCAGTAATATTTGCTACATAATTTCAGTTTTAAGATTAGATTTGGGTTTAAGAAAGTTAACGTCCATGCATGATTCAATTTGTCATTCATGAGGTTCTGGTTTATTTATTTAATTTTCTAAACAAGCAGGCATGTACACACATGTTAATGTAAAAAGCAGAGTGAATGTTCATTTAAAATAAGGAATAAATGAAATCCTGTTCCAATTAAACCCTTGGGCTGAGCTGTGGTGAGGCAAATGAGAGGGACTCGTAAGGCACTCTGTGCTTTAAAATGTCTTGCTGAAACACACTGGGGTGGTTTAAACGGGCTATTTATATTAGTCAAAAAATGAATCTTAAAAAACTATGTTAAAATAAATGAGTCTTGGCAGATCTGTGAACACGCCAGACTTGCAAATTGTCTGCAGGGTTTCTGCTCAGCCTTTGGAATTTCTTATTTAGAGCTTTGGTGAAATTAGGAAAGCCATCCAAAACAATGCACAAAGGGGCACGATGTGTGAGTGCTGGGCTGCCATGAAATGACAGGAAAAGTACGGGGATCTGCATGTTCTCGCCCATGGCACTGGTGATGGTGGTGGCCAGCAGCACCACACTGATGGTGTTTTTCCCTCTTTGCCCCTCAGGATGTGACATGTGTGCTGACAACCGCAACGGTGAGTGCCCTATGCACGGGCCCCTCCACTCCCTGCGCCGGCTGGTGGGCACCAGCAGTGCAGCCGCAGCAGCCCCTCCACCTGAGATCCCAGAGTGGCTCCGGGACCTGCCCCGAGAAGTGTGTCTGTGCACCAGCACTGTGCCTGGCCTGGCCTATGGCATTTGTGCGGCACAGAGGATTCAGCAGGGCACCTGGATTGGGCCCTTCCAGGGAATCCTGCTCTTGCCAGAGAAGGTTCAAGCAGGTGCCATCAGGAACACTCAGCATCTCTGGGAAGTAAGTTATCATCTTTCCTTCCTTGTCAAATTTAATCATTTTGAAGTAGACCTGGAGTGCAATTGTGTGTAGTAGTAGCACTGTCCACTAGCCATGAAAAAAAGCAAACAAACCCACAATTTAAGTAAGCTGAGCAAGCAGATTTGAAAACGTAAACAATGCAAGCAAAAGCCTTGCTGTACTAAAGGTAGCCAGAAAAACAGTGGATACCACAGATATCACAGCGGTTTACAGAAGAGCAGATTGCTGCAGATGCTGTGATGAGGAGTAGAGAGACATGGCCAGAGAAGTTTGAAGCTTACAAAACCCAGTGCTTTCTACATTTTGACCTGAATAACAAGAGCTGATGGAGCTCTCAGATCACAGCACCAGCTGTATCATCTTAGAGTAGCACTTGTGGATTGAGATGGCATACTGCACCATGGCTGTGACCCACAGGCAGTCTGAGAAAGCTGCTGAAACAAAGGCAGGGGTCTATTCTACAGCCTTGCTTTTTGCACAATGAAGGTATTAGCGCTTGTTCACAGTGTAGTTCAACTCTGGTGCTGTACTGACTGTGCATTCCCCTAATGATGCTTCCAGTGCTTTCATGTGAAAGCCACTTTCACATCCCCTCCAATTTTTATTTTTTTCTTTAATATTTGTCACTATTTTAAAGAGGGTAACAGTGATAACTGCTAGGGAAAATACATGATCCTGGTGTGTCAGAAACAGCTTACTTTCTTCCTAGTATCTTCCATTCATTTTTTTCATTTATGCTGAAAAGTGTAATTTTTTAGTTCTGCTTAGTCGTCTGTAGCTGCAGCTTCTGCTCTCCTCGAGATTAACTGCTACAGTGACTCATAGGAACATGTCCATAAATCTGCAGGTGGTATTTGCTCATCAAGACCGAATCCGAATCTTCAGAATATAAGGAGTCCATGAAGATGCAAAGAGTGTTTTTGCTGTCTTCAGGGAGTATAGAGTAAAAGTGAATGGATTTTTGAAAGATATTTGGTGGTGTGGAGTAGGAGTCCCCGTGCTTTTCCTATATGCAAATAGTAAAGAACATGTTGAGGTCTTTGTCTCAAAGTGTTTACCCAAAAGACCATTGTGGTAAGGAGATTTTCACATTAAAGAGTAAAAGATTAGCCTCAGAACACACTCAGAAGGTGCTCAAGAAAGCTGGATGACTTGCAATCATTGGAAGTTTTGTTGTTGCCTCCAGTGGAGATGGAATTTCTCTTGTATAGTATATATTGATGATTAGGTCTTAAATCTGTTCCTACCAAAGCCCAGTGATTATAATGAGAGAATTTTGGGATACATTATTAATCAAATATTTTTTTATGGGACACTCGATTTTGGAGGCTTTATTTTAATTGTTGAGAGGGGTATTGTCATTTAGACTATTCTAATTAACAGAACATATAACAGTAAAATGAGCTTGCCAGATCCACAGACTACATGAAATATTGAAATTTAAATAAAATAAATGGACTCAGAGAATTTTACATTGTCCATAAATATTTAAATTATCTTTTTTTTTATTATGAGTCAGTTTTATGCAAGATTAATTGCAAATCTTGACAATATCTTTTTTTAAAGGCAAGAATTTTTAGTCAGATTTCAGGGTAACTTAAAAACTGTTTTAAAACAATGAAAGAAAAACTAAAAGCAAAGAACAAAAAGAAGTTAAGCAAAAATAAGAAATAGTACTATTGTGGGTGTTAGATTCAGGCCATCAGCAGGTCTCAGCTGAGTTTTTTTGTGGGATTCCTTTTCTGTTCTTAACGCACAACACAGATTTCCTGTTGGCCAGCAAAAAGAGTGTGTGTCTTTTAAGGGAATTATCTTAAAAATAATAATTAAATTTAATTTATTATTAATGTATTTTTGGGCGGCTCATGGTCTTGAATTATTTCTGTCTTGAATTAATGACAAAAGCTGTTAGCAAAAAAGCACATACTCAAAGCTTTAGCTAAAAGTTTTGGCTGTTTCTCATTTGTTTTGACTTTCAATTTGGTGTGTTTTATATATCACAGAACAAATGTTTAATAAAGAAAAATTTAGTGAAAGAAAGTAATCAGAAAGTGTGTGTGATTTTACAAAACCTGACCTACGAAAATAAATAAAAGCAAATGAAAGTATATATGTGAATAGACTGTATTCTTTTAGTCTATATGGTATGGGAGTGTGGATTAAATCACTGAAAATGAAAAAGGAATGACTCATCACTGTCCCTTTATAATTTTGTGGCTTTAGTCAATTCTCTTCCACTAATATTTTCAAGATATCTGCAAATACAAGTCTGTCTACAGATTAGTTATTCAGCATTAGGTCTTGATGGACCTTATAGAGAGAACTTCTCTTTCTTAGTATTGCAATAACTTTTTAACATTTTTCTCTCAGCACTTTAAAGTCAAGTAGATAGATATTTATTTTAGTTTACAGTTCTTTGTTTTCAGTGTACACCAGACAAATAGAAGTGCTATTCCAAAGACTTTCAAGAGTAGTTACTGTTTTGGTGGCTTTTTTTAAAACTCTTTGTTGTGGGAAACATCAGAGGCACCGCATTTAATGTATAGCTCAATCTTATGGAAATATGCTTCAGTCTGTCTGCACAAGTGTTCCCACCATGGATTTGATGTTAGCTTTGTATGTAATCCATACAGCATAATGTACAACAATTCAGAGTAAATTACATACCGTTCCATTACCTCGCAACAGGCCTTGACACCTATGGGTGTTCATGAGAAATTATAGAGTTCTCTCACAATCATCTAAGATTTTTTTTTTTATAACTTAGAGAAAGATAAGCCTTTCAGAAAGCCAAAAATATTAGTCACTTTCAGTTGTAGTGCTTTTTTTTCCCCTTTGGCCCACTTCTAGTCAATCCAGAGTTTGCTTGTGTTTTATAAAAATACAATAAACCCTGATTTGTTTAAAACAAAAACAGGACTGGGTGTATTAAGTAAACACTTCTTTGGTAATACAGGCATTTTTTCCAGCAGTGCTTGATAATATTTCTGATCCCCCCCCCCTTTTTTTTTTCTGAAGTAGTGAGAATAATTCTTTTGTTATTGCAAAGCAAACAAAGACTTTCTCAGCAATTAGGTCTTACTGATGAGAATGAGATAATTTTTCCCTAATGTGTTTTCTAATAAAGGAGTGAAAAGGCACACTTGATTCCAACATATATGAAAACATTATCTCAATTATTAATGTGTCCTTACTCCCTGGAGATAAATTAATCTAGTTGCACATGGTTTCCCCTTTCTGTTTAACATCAAAATTTAATAAGAGCAGACTTAAGGAAAGTATAAGATATCCACTTAAATTCTATTAGAAGAAAATAAAGAAGTTTAAAAGGAACTACATGTTGGTAGTTGCAGTTTTTCAGGCTCCAAACTTTAAACTGTGAATTCTGGAAACAGCCTATTTGTAAATGTTCTTTTCCCTTGCAAATGCTGTTTAGACAAAAAACTTTTATTGACAGACATATCAAAGGATACAGTCTTACAGTTTCCTTTTCTTCATGTACCCGATAAAGGGTTTGCTGTCTTATTTACTTACTTATTTATTTATTTGGTCAGAGGTCAAATAGTTATTTTTTTCTTAGAATAGTCCAAGAATGTCAAATATATTATTTCACTTTATTTTAGCCTGACTTAATTCAAGGTTAGCATTTCTGGGAGAAATGCTTTTTCATATGCCACTTTTCTTACAGGGATGAGCAAAATATACATACATCAGGGAGTTCATTAGTGAATACAAAGTGGTAAACCAGTGTAACTGATTTTTCCCTTAATAATTTCTCCCCTCCCCTCCCAAATTAACTGATCCTACTAGAAAGGGTGCATGTCATCTTAATAAAGTACCATTTGGGTGCTTATTGGTCTTTTTGTGTCTCAGCTGAAGTAAAAGAAAACATTGTCTTTAACTTCATCTGGACCAAAAATAGGCAATTTGCTGGGGTGCATGTTGGCCAGAGCCCATGCAGCAATACTATACATTTCTAAACAAATTAATATGCACAGAGAATCCTTACCTTTCAAATGAAGCACTCACTCCAGCTGTGGTGGAAGATTTGTATTCAGATTCTCAAGCCTGTAGTTTTGGACTAAATTCGCTGTTACAGCAAAGCACTGGGGGATAGAATTATGCGCATGCTGTCGTTCTGTTAAAGTGAAAATTATGTTTCTCAGCAATCCATCATCTAGTATTCTAGGCTGCTTGTCAGCCTTGCTTCAACGTTGTCATGTTCATGAAATTCAAATAATTTTGTCTTGAAAAAACCCCTTAGTTATACTACTATTATATCTTAAATTATGCAGAGTAACAGCTGGTGCTATTCTGTTACTTTCTTGTTTTGCCATTTCTGTGGATTTTGCATTGTTTATCATTCTTGCATTTATTTTCCATTGAAAAAGCACGATAAATTTTAGTTTTACATGGATTTTAAGTTCTCATACTGCCTACTGGAAATATCCATAATGTTGTGTTCAGTAGCTTGCTAAACTGTAAATTCAGTATGAAGTGGCACAGCTTCCTTAATGTGTGTATCCTAGGAGAAAATTGTGCTAAGCCATTACAAAGCAGGTTGCTATCATTAGTACTTCGGATGACTTAGTATCACATTTTTCCAGATAACTTCTGTATGTTACAGATTCCTTTCTTAGGGTCAATGCAAAGTTGGTTTGATCACGAAGGTATATGAGAAGGTACTTTATATTGCATAATTTTTGTTCTTAGAAAAGCTAAACTAAACTTTGATGTTTCTTTTAGAAGCCTTGTGATTTTTTTAAGACTTTCTCACACATTATCTTCATGTATCTCCATGTTTTTGGTATCTTCATTTGATCTACATAATGATCTACAACAAATCTTCATATATCTACAGTAGATGTACAGATCTAATGTATGCCTGGCAGATAAATAAGTCTAAGCACACATGAAACAAATCTAATTTAACATGGGGGCAGATCTCTCTTCCTATTTCCAAAGTGAAGTTTGGACTA